TCGGACAAGAAAGTACGAGCTGACCTTTTCGACTCTACGGTATTGCAATTACTCTGTTACGCATCCGAGACGTGGGCGGAGAACAAGACGTCAACGCTAATGCTGGTTCGCGCACAAAGAACTCTAGAGCGGACGCTGCTGAAGATCAACCGCGCAAAGCAGAGAAGTCCCAACCTCCGCAGCGCAGATATGCGCTCAATCTCCGGCATCCGTGACGGCGAAGTGAACGCGTAGTACGCAAAGAAACGATGGGCAGGGCACATGGTTGGACGCACGGACGACAGGTGGACCACTCGCGTCACGTTCTGGTACCCACGTGAGATTAAACGCACACTAGGCCGTCCTGCAACGAGATGGAGTGATTCACTGAAGAAACTTCAGGGAAACGATGGTCAACACTGGTCCCAAACCGCTCAAGATCGTCAAAAATGGATGGAAGCGTGTGCTCGCCGCTGAGGATTATCAGCCGACAACGAGCGTCCAAGTATCCAAGTATCCATGTAAAGGGTCTATCGGACAACAGCAGCTCCCATCAGAGACATATGAAAATATCACTGACGCCTGCTCGTTCAAATTGATGATCAGCGGGACGACATTCGATACAGCTGATATACTTAGTTCTGTATACAAAACATTATATTTTATCACACGTTATACATATTATGCTACTTCATTGTTACAGTCTTATATCACTAAACCATGTTATTATGCTATAGTATTAAACTATGCTGCCATGTTATATTACCGTTATATTTGCAAGACCCCATTTCTACTCTTAGGTCGCAGAGACGTTTGAACGACTGCGTTCTTCTATGTCTGGAGAGCAAAATGATGATTTGAAGAAAAAAGGATATACGTTCCTGGAGCAAGCACAATGGAAAAAGCTTCATGAAGATCAAGGTTTTTCTAGCAATGATGCCTCGAAACATTTCCCCAAAAACCTTTGCAATGGTTAGAATGATCGCAAAATATTACAGACCTCCATGAGCCTGAAATCAAATCTATGGTCGACGAGTATGGAACGCTGACTAAGGAGCAACGTGAAGAGGCCCTGTGGGAAGCGATATCTAATATAGCTGGTCTCAACAAAGTGAGTGTCCGAGAAGACGTACCCAGGCATTTTTGATAAGGCCCTAGAAAAAACTCCTAAAAAAGCCTGACCCGCAATATTATTTTTCCCGTGTATCGCCCTTCTCTGCGTGTTCTGCTCTTAAGATATCGCGAAATGGAGACGGACCTGATGTTCCTACGATATGTATTCGGATCTCGGAAATGTTCCATTTTCTAAGATTGAATCTTTCAGCGTCGACGGCATAAACGCCAGTTTCGAACGCTTTCTGTACTGGCGCCAACCGTGCTCAGTCCATACCAATTTGCTCCTGTCTACGGATTGAGCGTTTTAGGACCTGTCGTCCTTTCGCCAAACACCTTCTCGCCACTCGTTTTGGATCCGTCTGTTCTTGGACCATGGGTTCTGTCACCATCCGTTCCTTTACCGTTTGTTATTTCGCCATACCTTCTCTCTCCTTATGTACTGTCTCCTCTCGTTATGGCTCCGTTTGTTTTCTCACCGTACGTACTTTCTCCGAATGTCATTAATCCATATGTGCTGTCACCTGTTGTCCTCAGTCCAATGGTTCTATGTCCTGATGTGATATCTCCAATGGTGCTCGCAGGGTCGGTTCTTTCCCCTTCTGTAGCATCGCCCAGTGTCCTTTCCAAAAGTTATCTCATGGCCGATGTATTGTCACCGACAGTGTTTTCTTAGATTTCATTCAAGAAAGCCGACTGTTGGCTAAATTGCCTCAGTCGCGCATTGTAGTTAGAGCATAATTTAGGCATTCATACGGGATAGGAGCTTGAGGTCTTCCATGTTGTGATAACCTTATACTGTACTGCTCCACTGTTTCATTTCTCACCTAGTGCCATCTCTTTTGAGCTATTTTCTAGCCTATGAACTCACAAGCTTACCGAGTATGGAACGAACGTTATTTTTCATTTCATTTCGAAAAACCTCACGGATTATACAGAAGTTGTTAGGAATAAATGATTCCCGCGCTCTTGTAAATGTATTTATTCTTCATATTTCAGCGCTACCTCACTAGCGTTCTAAACTTGTCCGGCGCACGAGCTACTGTTACAGTTCGGTGATGGCCACAGGTCCCTCGGGAACCTTCTTTAAGTGCTACTATCGCCCTACCACCAAGCCAGACTTTTTATCAACTTTCGACGAAAAAAGCGACGTCTCCACGTAGTATTAGTGCCACTTTATGCTGTGTCATGCTGTTTTGCTATTTTCTATGAACAAACCCCATGTAAGTTGAAAATGGATCCATCGGATCAATCAAACATCAGAGAAGGCTATCAAGGATGGAACAAACAATCGAAAGATGGGCATGGCTTTATTTCTGCATATTGCTTCACTTTGCAGCGAAACTTTTCTATCGAGATTAACCCACAGATAGGAAAAATTTGACAGCAGTGGCAAAGGAAACGGAGAAAGGAACAAGGCTGTACTCATGCATACAGAGTGTTGGATTGAGGTGCAAAAGTGCCACCGATATTCCTGCTTCATGAGGTTTCAGACTTCCTACAGGCCTTACTGTAACTGATTTACTAATAACGTTGATTTCTCCTATTCTAAATACATTCCAGCATGTTTCTGCTCCCGTAACCGCACTTAGAAAGAAAGATTCTGGATTACCGTAAATATGTATGTGTATGAATCCTGGTGTAGTGGCACCCATAGTCCCTAGCCCATCGTAATCTGTCCTCATGTAAAAGATAACTATTGATGGAAAGGCCAGTTCGAAAATACTTGAAAGATTAAAAAAGGCGGCAATCAAGGAAAATGGGTAGCGAAAGAATGGGACGTTATTAATAACGGCCCAAAACCTTATCCTTCGTGAAAAATATTGTAGAAATAAGGATAAAGGATAAAGTTTTTGGTGTTAAAATCCCGTCTAAGGGATGCGCCCCCGCACTCGACTTCCATTCAGAATCGTAGTGGCGTAATGAGTGCGTATGTGGCCTATACATTGACTTGCGGTGGCCAGCGGACGTACAAGTCAGTGCTTTTATCCTCCCAGACGAGTCTGGTACTAATTCGCCGACCCCGGAGGGATGGAAGGCTTGGTTGGCCTGGGCGGGCATCAATCCGGGATTCGAACCCCTGACCGTGCGTGTGATATAGTGCGCCACTTGCCACTACACCACCTCCGCCCTTTGTAAGAAATAAAATAGTAAAACGTGATAGCTAGTTATGAGCGGAATTTTGACCATTGGCGAGACTCGAGCCGAAACCCTCCCGTTTTCCAAGCACCCCAACTCTTCGTTTGATACTTGCGAGTACTGCGGCGAAATAACCTCAGTCCGAAGCAAACTAACAAACTTTTAGCTTTCTGAGTGTTCAAAACAGGATCTAATCAACGGTAATAATACTAGCAACAATAGTAAGTAATAAAAACAATAACATTTAATGTTAACAAAACATTGCTGACACTCCAACGAAAAAAAAGGTTAGAAAGTTTTTCACTGCAATTGACTGATGCCCGTTCCTATGCGCAGGCTAGAAGGAGATATTCGTCGATATTGGTGTGACTGATGAGTGATTCAAATCAAACTGTCATATCCCTTTTTATGATGAACTCAGAGAGGAATTCGAATATCTCAAGGGCGACATCGATCCACCGAAGAACGTGTACATATGACGAAAATCTCTTTAGACAATGAAGTCATCGAAGAGATCAAGAACGTTCTTTGTAACTAGTTCATTGCACCGTTAAAAGTAGTGAACGATTTCACACAATCGATGATCTGCAGGTGGTTACCGACGAAGGCGATGACAGTAATCGGAAGAATTCCGAATTCTTGAGTCAGAAGGCCCTCGATAACCCATCTTCTTTTATAAAAGATATACAGTGGCCGTGAAATCATATATTCATACATCGATTAGTAATCCACCCTTGGACCTTTCGATGCCGAATTACGTACAGAGTAGGAAATAATGGCTGGGAAAGCTTACACCAAGGATAGACAACGGAGTCAGCAGAGACGAAGTAAAGCACATACAAGAGAATTTCTCGATGGAAGCATGCAACGTAGCAATTTTCACATCTGTCAAACCTCCATTGTATCCCTAGAGATTGTTTCATATTACATGGTATTCACAAAGAGTTTTCAAAACTTTGTCATTATTACTCAAAAAATTGACTGGACGTAATGTTCCAGTCTTTTAAGACTATTCTCATACCGAAGTCACATCGAGGACGGGGCAGCTTTTACTAGAGCCACTACAAGATTCAGAACTACCCCACAACTTTTTCCATGTAGGATTTGAATAAATTCGAAAAATAGTGACGGCCAGTAAAATCATGAAAAAGCTTTCGATCGCCAGTGCAACGTTAGCTGATCTCGATCGTCTAAACAATCCAGTGAATCAGTCAAACGGATCAAATCCATGCTATTGGAATGACACCAAACTCGACGTTCAAATCATCAAAGGACAATTTTCATTGGGTTCACCACTGCATTCAAAACATTCCACTACATTTTGACAAAGACGTTAAACAGAATCTTAGACCGGTAAGCCAGTAAGGGTATAGGAAGGTCGTAAAAGGTCTTGGACTTGTAATTACAAAAATCTGGGTAGTTCCGATCACTCAGAAATTCTTGTGAGCCGAATGACATAGTGCTTATAAGAAAAATGCGAACGCTATCAATGTTTAATCAGAAATTAGAACGACATGTCAAGAACATCGAGTTCTCAGCGTCGATTGAAATGATGGGTGTACTTGGTTTTCTAGCTGGTCATCCCAGTCAATGCCTATTGACTTCAGCCTACGGATTTGCGATCTCTTCGAATCCATCGTTCTCCCTTCAAGCTCCCTTTCAACCTCGGTTTTGTATTTGGTTGCTTCTGAGGCACTGATTTTCTCCTCTACGCCTTGTATTCTTCATAACTGCTCCTGCACCTTTCAGCATGCTCTTTGCATTCATTCCAGAGGGCACTAGCCAAGATTCTCTCTCCTCTACCCTATAATCTTAAGCTCATGCTTATTCCCATATTTCATGGTTCCCAAAAATGCCCAAGTTAGTGTCCCAGACCAAGGAATCATGTTGGGCGGGTCCTGCCCCGACGTCGATTATTTCCACCATGAGGTCATTTGCTATCTCAAGATAAGAACCTTACTACCGAACCATCAGGACTTCCATGTGATTGACGCTTCTCTCTCGGCTGCTGATCCGTGAAGTTCTCCAAAGTGTGATATCCATCATTCCAGAACGGGAAGGAAGAAAAACCTCGTCTCCGGCCATGTTCTAACATTGTTTGGGTGGTCACAAGTGGGATGAAGATGCAAAACCCAAAGAAATGCGAATTATGACGATGTGACTAGACAAGATCTGGTTCGATTAATAGATTTGATGTGAAGCTCATTTAAACAGCTCGTAGCCCCAACTTCGGTTCTACCATTATCCGATCACGCAACATTTATACTTTGCGACAAACTGCAATTGTACTGGTTCTAGAAAGAAACTTAGAGAGGCTAGAAAA